TGGCTGCAAATGAGTGCTTTTGGATGGGGCTCGCTAGTGTCAAGAAAATTGCGCTGCCGTGGTGTAGTGGTAAGGCTCTCGCTCATGAGCACGCAGGTCATGGGTTCGTTTCCCGCTGCTGACGTATTTTTGCAAATCATGTTTCATACTCGTTAGAGACTTCTATTCTAACTTTTAACTTATCCGAGCGAGCACCTTGTCAGAACTTGAAGGCCGAGTGACAGATATAGTTGTCGCTATGTTCCTGATGAATATCTTTATTGATAATGGTGCACTCTACCGCGAAGGTAGTTTGGATAGTTTTCGCAAAATTCGGAACAAGAAGATAATAGTCCTGCAACATGCGAAAAGAGAAAGATTGCTGCAAGGTCCGCTTTTATACTTCGTGCATCGCTGGATCGATATTGTAAAGGGGAAGATTGGAATCGGATGCCCCAAACGAATCGGAGTGGGATTATTGCAATAACGAGGATGAAGACAGCTCGGGCAAGGCAAGGCAGACAAGCCGTGGAGTGGTAGAGGTATCAAATTAGCTCTGTTCTTTTAACTGAACGCTGGGTGTAGAAGAAAGTGCGCACGAAGTTACTTCATCTCAAATCACACAACAAACGTCAATGGTATTAGCATAGCTGTGATTAGGTGCTTATTCAAATAAATGTCAAGAAACGGAGAATAGAAAAAAAAACCCCCTTCCTCGTACAATGCCGTACGAAACATGATTTGCAAAAACGTCAACCGCAGCGGGATTCGAACCCATGACCTGCATGATGATGAGCGAGAGCCTTACCCCTACACCACGGCAACACAGTTTCTCTGACACTAGCGAGCCTCATCCAAAAGCACTCATTTGCAGCCAACTTCGACTGCTCGTAACTTCCTTGGCAGAATCGTTCTGCAATTTTGGGTTCCGCAGTTCTAACCGTTGTCCCAGGCTCTATCGATATGTCTAGGTCTCGGCTCAAAGTTCCACGGGGAGTTCAATGCCTTCCCTCGTCAGGGAAGATCGGAGCGCTCAATTTTTTCAGTACGTTCCCTTCTAACAGAGAAGAGCTGCTGTCAAACTATAGACTTCCACTGCCAAAACACAACGCAGATCAAAGGTTAATTACAGTCAAGAGTGACGCGACAGCGTTAAGCTATAGAGATTTTATTTAATCTACCGTTTTGCCAAAAATGTTGCACTAACTATACGTTTTGTTTATCTTGTCATGTTTACATGTTGTTTCAAAGTGCATTCAATAAATAAATAATAAAAGAAAAACTAGAATGTGCACGTTCACAATACTCGCTGAGAGGGCGTAGAAATGCTGCATAACGCGGCGGTGACTGCCTCCCCAGCTAAATTAGCGCCCAGAATGAAATAGGTTTTATGAACAGCTCCCATAGCTCAAAAAATACACCCAAATGAATATGCAATGCTTCGTGCGACTCAAAAAGTTGAAAATGAACGCAAGAAATTTATTATTCCCTCATTTAAAAATTGTTGCCCATACATTTCAAATACACATGATTTACAGATATTCCTTACCAGTAAATGTGGTGTCTTGTCGAGTGACCGCACAACGAGCTTGAGACTAGATTGCGCCTCACACGATGATAACACAAATTGTGCGAAGAAGACTGAGAGGCTGTTGAACCTGTAACAGATATCACATCATGAATATTATAAAGACGAACCGATAAGGGATAAAAGCTGATGACCTCGTCGCTAGAAAAGCCTTAGAATTTGCTGAGAGGGTGCAAACAGCGTGATGGAATAACAAAATGTCGGGACGATCTGAAAACGTCGTGATAAGAAACAACGAATATTTCAAATTTGACAACTATGGCCGTTCCGCGTCCGATAGCACTTCAAATGATCCAGGTCGCTATTCTAGAACTGTTTACTTCTCTTCATAATTACATATACACATTCTTACTTTTAACAACGGTGCCAAGTTCCGCGTTGCATCCATCGCAGAGTAGCAGCCGGTCGCCATGACATACTCCACGACCAGAAACGCTCTAAAGAAGAACTAATACGCCAAGCAAGGAAATGACATAAGAACACATACCTCTTTGCTTACAGCAATATAAGAATGACTCAACAAGAATCGTTTATCATTTGGAAGCCAATCTGAATGCATTGTAGCAGTTTCTGTCCCATCACGATGTTTACTATGTCTAAATGTGGATCTTCTCCTTATCACTAGCGTATAGTGTTCTTGAAATGCTTCAAGATATTAGTTGAAAATACCGTTCTGGATCACAGCCGGCTCCACACGAATCACGACAGTAATAGTCAGCAGACGGCGACGTTTCAAGCCAGTCATCACTCGGTAGACACGACAAAGAGATTCTGAAATTGTAGAAGCTAGAGCTACTATGAAGCACTTTTACAGTTGGCCATAAATTACATTAGGATGAAAACATCATGGAAATCTGTACAACTGGAAAAGAGGAGAATAAATGAAAATGTATTCATTGAGTTGATAAACCAAAAGCTATGTCACTCTTCCAAGAACCCACTGTTTGCTTTGAAAAAGCAGCGGTCTTTCGAAGAATGCGCTGATGGCACTGTGTAGATAGACGGCCTGGTGTTCATCCGAGTCCTTCTGGAGTGGTTTCTCGAATCCATTGACGTTTGCATTATGTTAGAAACAGGTACTCGTCTTAACCACAGTCCGTACACAATAACCCAGCAGATTTAAGTAGGAGATTTGAGTTGCCCTCTCCGAATGCAGTATGTGTTGGGCAGCCTAGCGTGCAAGATTCCGTCTTGGCAGGGTTCTACGCATATGTTAACGTAGCCATGATTTCCCCCAAAGCATCCTTTGGCTTCGAAATCACTTGAATAGAAGTAGATCGAGCTGATTCTTGCTCTCCCGTTTCATCCCTAGAGATTGATACCAAAGGTTAATACCGTTGATGCTCGCCAAAACCTCCTAAGCCGGATTCATGATGACTGTCAGTCTGAAGTTTGGCTTTGTGTAGATATGCCAGTTTGTCTTTTGACTTACATCACAGATACCACGGTTAAACTCATTGGCGTATTTCTTCATTATTATTATTTTTTACAGAATTTAAGAATAAATATTTTTTTTTTTTTTTTTTTTTTTTTCTTTTTTTTTTTTTTTTTTTTTTTTTTTTTTTTTTTTTTTTTTTTTTTTTTTTTTTTTTTTTTTTTTTTTTTTTTTTTTTTTTTTTTTTTTTTTTTTTTTTTTTTTTTTTTTTTTTTTTTTTCCTTTTCTCCTTTTCCGCTTTACGTCGCCTGGAATGTTTTCTGGTGATAATATGCCATCAAGTGGGTCTGATCGCTATAACAGGCGGCAAACGACGATTGAATGTATAGCTTACGACCTTGGGCCAATTCAGCACGTACTTCTGACTTATATGCTTGGTAGAATGCAGCTCCTCTTCCGTCAGTCAACAGTCTAGCACTATATGAGCGTCTGGTAACGGCGGTTGTGACATTGTTTCCTGGAGATCTTGCAGTGAGCATTGCAAGCAACGTAACAGACACCAGATAAACAACGAGCAGCATTCATGAAGCCGACGGTTATCATCACAAGCGTATATAATATCTCAAGGTAACAGTGAATGAAAATGTTGAAATCAGTGAAGGAATCAACGCAGACATGTTGCTGCCATCGCTGGTCAAGTTGTAAATGAGTAAAATATGCTGAACTGATTTAGTGAAGATGATGCTTTGGTTGAGACTTTGAAGGAGTTTTCATAGATACAAATCCTGCTGCATGACGAAGATGGTGAAATATACGAAGTTATTACGATGCCGAAATTAAATAATAGCCGACAGTAAGATATTGCGGAGGTAGCTGTATTGATGGCTTCGATCAAATTAAAGCAACATACCCTGGCTTGCTATCAACAACGGGATGTCCACACTGACTGCACGAAAGAGCAATGGTTGTGTCATTTGCATTTTTACAGTATTCTTCCAAGGGCTCTGTGTCGCAGATGTCACGAGCTAGCCGGTGAAATGTTTTTGGCACTGAAAACCAGAATGTACACGGTCTAGGATTTTTATGCTAGAAGAATTAAGGAAAATTCAGGCAAAGAAAATGAGAGTTCCATGCGACATAGATCAGCTAGCTTTCATCTATACCCTATAGCAGTAACCGTGAAACTGAGTTTGGAACCTGTCCCTGACTAAGGATCTAACCAAAAAGTAGTCTCCAGTGGTACTTCAACACGTAGAACACGAATATCGTACCAATTTAGTGCGAAAACTCCTGGCGCCCGCGCTACAGGCGCTGGCGTTATCGCACTAGCTTCGCACCAGCGCTTTTTGGTTTTGTTCGAAATGAAGCACATCCATATTGAAAAATTTTTTATAGTAACCCCTGTAAATTAACAGAAATTTCAAAATTTATAGTTACTTCGAGTACAGTAACACCCCCTCCCCCCTACCTACTTTGCTTGAGATTTTGGGAATACGGTACGACTGAGGGGCATGGGTGTGGTTCACTAGGACAGAAAGCGACTTTTTCGCGTTTCGCAGCGCGAAACATTTTTCGCTGCGGGAACCTCAGGTCCACCGCTGATCATCAGTGGACCGAGGTTCCCGCAGCGAAAATGTTTCGCGCTGCGAAACGCGAAAAAGTCGCTTTCTGTCCTAGTGAACCACACCCGAGGGGCATAACTTTGAGTTAAGATTGAGGAATGACCTAGAGCGAAGGTAGTCATGAGAGAAGTGAACTAGAGATGGTTGGGAGACTATACTGGGTGAGGAATTTCGTCAACACATGGTTCACCGTGTTTGAACTGTTGAGATTCGGGCTGTCCTCGAACTGAGTCTAACCCCTATATCACTACACCTATACACATAATCACTGATAATTATTTTGAAGTAGGTGTGGTCAGAGGGAAGATTCGCCAAAAAGAAAAGAAAGCGTGTATGTCGAAAACCTACCAAATGGTACTCCATCAGCTTCGACATGTAATTTACACATAAAAAGGCGCTGATTGTCCGCCCACGTAGGTGCACAAAGTGATTGCGGATAGAATGTCAAATTTGAGATGCTTGCACGATATCGTGGGAGCTTTCGTTGGATGTGTAAGCTCTCCGCCAGGAACGGCGGCGTGCCTAACTCAACAGCATGCTCACTGACCCTCACCATGTTCAAGCCTTCATTCCTATAAAATTGCCATTTCGCAGTCCGATTAAACAGTGTTTGTATGGTTCGGAGAATATTAACCTACTCTTTGTCATTCTCATCTCCTGCTTCCCCAACAGCTTTCGCATATTCTGGAGGACAATCAACGAACAAGGACGCCAGTTCCGCGCGTGGCTTCACTTCCAAGAAAAACGAGTGTTCGTGCCATTCGGAACTCATGTACGAACCTTCAAGGTAAAATTTAAATTTGATTGTGATCAGCAATACAATAAAACACAAATGACCACCAGTTCAACTAAAGTACACTAATATGAATCCATCACATCGTCACCTCCAAAAATTGTTTTCATGTCAAACAGCGATAAACAAAGTGTATCAAAACAGCTTCCCCATTTCCTTCACGATTTGGGCGCGGCCGCGGCGAGCGCGGACGAGTTGGTAGTGCCCGCGAACTGTGCGGGTAATTTGAAAACGCTCCATCAGCACAGTTCGCGGGCACTATCAACTCGGCCGCGCCCCAAATCGTGAAGAAAGTGGGGGAGCCTATCAAAACTTCTGAAAAAAAATGAAATGAAAAAAACGTCTCCATGAGTGCACGATATGACCCTGACCATAGTCAGCTGAACAGATCTAGTGCGTCACATATATTACAAAACTCTTAAAAGGCGTGAAGTCGAGATACCTCATTTCGTGCCAACCTCGCTATGAGGGATTATTTCATCTAACCCTGAAAAAACCTGAGTCTCCTAAAAATCCTATGAACGCATCCTTTCATAAGAACCTGCCTTTGCCATCCCATGCAATCTACTTTCCATCTCCTGAAGCCGGTGCCAAACTTAGCGAATCCAGCGATTCGCGTGCTACGAGCGATGCACCAGTGGTTCGAAAGATGTACCAGCGGTTAGGCATTCGAAAGTGAGAGGAGTCCCTCTCATTCTCATCTTGACTGGAGCCAGTTTCCCAGGCAAGCATGAGAGAGTGAGAGAACATGAAAGCCTGGCAAGCGGCGAGAGACATCGTGCGAACGAGAGGATGTACCACCACTTTCAAATACAGCTGAGTCGCTGGTAAAACATTCGAACCGATGGTGCATCCCTCGTACCCCACGATTCGCTAGCCAGTCGCTGGATTCGCAAAGTCTGCCACCGGCATAAGAGAGCCATACACGATACGCTCCCATTACTCTGAAAAATTTCCACCCTGTACCCCTGCCGTAATCGGTCAGATAGTGTGAGGATTTAGGGAAGAACTGACCAGGAAGGGACGACGGGTCAAAGCGGCCATTTGAGATGAGAAGTAAAGGCAGCGATTACATAGCTTCAAGAGAAGGAGTTTAAAGAAGAAGTGGTGGTGCTCAATGGTACGCAGTGGCGAAAAAAGCGGAGAAATCCGTAAAAAACGCAAAACGGGACCCCTTTTTGGCCGTTGGTTTTCACTCATGAACAGGTAGCAGCTCAGAAAGCGGGCGTATGAACGAGTTCAGCGCAACGCGTTCCGTGGCACGGGTGTGGTTCACTAGGACAGAAAGCGACTTTTTCGCGTTTCGCAGCGCGAAACATTTTTCGCTGCAGGAACCTCGGGTCCACTGATTTTCCTGTGTGAACCTCGGGTGCAGCAAGCCCCAACGAGGAGATGGGGACCCATCCCTTCTCCCCAAGGTTGGGGATATATCCCCAACCTTGTCTCGACTAGGGTGATATATCCCCTGCCGGCAGAGACGCAAAGGGTCGACGGCGGTGACCATTTCGCATGGACCGTCATAGGACCCATCGAAAAATGATGGGTCCTGTGACGAAACCAGGACATATCCCCAAGGTTGGGGGCACATCCCCTCACCCGCTTTGGGGATATATCCCCAATCTCGGGGTTACGTCTCCAACCTCTGGGGCTTGCTGCACACAGCCCCTGAGGTGGACCTGAGGTTTCCGCAACGAAAAATGGTTCGCGCTGCGGAGCGCGAAAAATTCGCTTTCTGTCCCTCCCAGTGAACCACACCCTGGTGGCACCATGCCAAACATGCTCAATCGAGATGCTCCAGTTGTGCCGCTGCTGGCAACGCAGCTCGTCCAAATCACCAACTAAACTAGTGGGCGGATCGCTTTTGGGGGCGGAGTGCTTTCGAAGTCCTGCTCAGCAACCAGCGCACCTTTCGTCGTGAAAGCTACACCTCGCTTCCCTGGCAGCCAAGTAACTGATTCGTGTGGTGCATATGCTTCCCCGATGCGCTCCCACTTTATCGTAATCGCTGCCTTCAAGGTGCGAGGTTTTGAACGCTCCTCTCGATTCTGCTTTCGAAATTTGTCAACGAATTCTTTGGACGGAGTTAAGGTTTTCCATTCTTCACGCAATTAACAAGGGTGTCGACCTCAGCAGTAGCGGCATTTAAAAGTATAGATATACATACTAATAGATTCAGACTACCTCTACCTGGGCCAATTTCCAGACAAATTCGAGAACTTGAAGATGGGCCAGTTATGGAACAACATTCTCCTAGCCCATAGCCCAAGGTTTGGCCTGTCTATTTCAAAAAAAAAATTCCATGTGAGTGGTGAAACCACACAAACAAGGAAAGCAAATTTCGCTTCCTCTCTTCTCGGAGGCATGGTCAAAGCATATTATAGAGACTATGCTTCGATGATAGGTGGATGGATGGCATGGATTCTGGAGCTACTCGAATTTTTTTGGAGTTTGGTCAAAATCTCAGATTTGACTGCAAGTTTGTCCCAAGGAATACACATTAACAAGTAGCGCCCCGTTTTGTAGAGCTCCTCGCAAACTTTTTTTTACTATAGGAAGCGTTGATTGAGAAACCTAGTTCAGGGACTTCTTCAACCATGCTGCTGCGTAGGCAGATTGGAGGTCAGCGTTCAAAAATACATCCAACGGTGTATGTCTCATCGCAAATGGCCATTTTGGTCCATCATCCTTTACTGGAGCAAAAAATCACGTTGAGCAGTAATCCAATAATTTCCAATCCTAACTTTATAAGATCGCTAGTGATTACCTACTCTACATATTCATGCCTTAAAACACAAGATAATCATACACGAATGTCATTCAGCTATTAAGATCACCCTTTCTCGATCTCGTAGTCAGTACCAAACCCTAAGCACCATAAGTTGCTTATTAAAAAGGTTATTTTGAAGAAGAAAATTCAACCAGATATATTTACTATGAATTTAGCTGAGCGAAATGTGAAATCTTCATGAGAGCATATACAAGTACGAGTCACGTAAGTAAATATTTTTAGTGGGTAGGGTGGAGCTGTCCACTAAGATCAGATGTCGTGTTCTTCCAACTCTAAAGTACGCAACAAGGTGCTAGTGTTTTGCAACGGTCGCTTCCTTTTTCTCTCGCTTGCAGCAGCATACTGGTCTGATTTTCCTTGCCTAGCTTCTCACTGCCTCAACAGGAGGGTGAGCAAACCCTTCCAATGAATTCTTTTCCTTTTTCTTTACTGCCGGCCCAGCTCGCACCAACTTTTCTATAATCATAGCAGGACACCAGTTTGATTATAGGACGCTTTAAGGGACGCACTTGACCGATGAGAAGCCACATGGTCAGTTGGTAGGAAACTGCTGATCTGAACTCCTTATTCACTTGCATTCCGATCCTACAGGGGTGGCCAAAAAAGAGACACTTCACTCCACATTTCAGACAGCATTAATCACACTTTGCTGAATTCAAACCGACTGCTCCCAACTTAATATTGAAGAGCACATCCAATCTATCAATAAACGTTATAATAGCTTTCTGCACCAAGGACATCACAAGAATTTGCCATGGGAACCTTGTGCACGGTTCGAGCTCAACTGGTCCTCGACGGATCATGGACCATTACGACGTTATCTGAAACGCTGGTCGGAAGGGGTCTTGCATATTTAGAGCTACTGTCCCTAGGAAGCAATCCGTCAGTTAACCGATTAAAGAAATTCGTAGCAGCTTCAGGCTGGAACGATTACTTAGGCCTTCTTGAGCTCAACGGTGATGGAAGATGACGTCATATTTTGAGACGGTGAGGGCAGTTGAAGAGGGCCTGCTTCTACTTATGGTAGGACATCTAGGGGATAAAACAGCGACACCCTGTGCGATGAAATCTTTGATGATGTGCGCCATGGGGAGAGAGTCTCTTTTTTGGCCACCCCTGTATTCCGATATTCTGTTACAATTATTTTAATTGATGACATAATATTTATAATAGTTAGGCTCGACAGTGAAGTGAGTTCCATACCGCACACATCAGAAAACTCCAAAACGTCACTCAAATTGCATGAAGCTCCTATGTATTGAACAGTTCCAACTGCTACTGAACACATAACAACATAACAAAAGAAAGGTTTATTTACAGTTCGGACAGAAAAAAGGGCAAGAGTAGCACAGAAATGTTTTGAGCTTAAGCAGTAGCTGCCACTCAAAAGCTGTGAATATGCCTGTGATGGCAGGAAACTAGCACATTATTTACTAACGAACACTTTATGGTACGGGAAACAAAGGAGTAAATCAGTAATAGGATACCTATTGAGAAAGGAATTGTTGCTGACAGAAATAAAGGATAGGTACCACCGAGTGAAGAGTAAAATATCCTCTAAATGTAGCTAAAATAATGCAAAAAGTAAAACGGAATGGACCAGTCATATTTATTCTATTTTTGAATTCAAGCAGACACTGCAAGAGGATGAGAGAGAGAAGAATATTAACGGCATTATAAAAATTAGCCACACCCAATTTGCGCGAACGCGTAAAATCAATATCTAACCTGCCATGCCTGCGCTGATGGGGCGTGGCCGCAGAGGTTTAGTTGTTGCCGGCTTTCTCTATCACAAACCTTTTAGTTGTTCTCACAAATGCCGCCCTGCAAGCACTTCAGAAAAATATGGTCCATTATGACAAAAAAGGAGAAGTATCGCAAGTCAATGAAAACACACATTATAAACCCATTATGTGACATATTATTAGAAGCACACAAAACCAAACACTCAACACATAATTATATAGGCAGTAAATACAAATAAACACCTGTTCATTGCTGTTAGTAACATGCATAAATGTCTAGAAATCCACACTTGTTTTTGAATAGGCAACTATCACATGTTTGCGGACTGTAAAAAAGAAGAATGACGCTGACTTTTATGTCGAAGAAGATTGCAAATAGATCGCATGGGCAGATAAATCGAGCTATGGAACCCGAAACTTAAAGAGGAATGAGAAACATGAAATTCATGACAAAAAAAAAGATGGGCGGTGGTCACCAGCCGCGTAATCTGCTCATCGATCGTGTAATAATTGAGCGAGTAGAAGTTGTAGGTGGATTCGATGCTGCGTTTGATCTTCCACGGTTACCAGTTCGACCTGCGATAACAGTTGAAAAAGGTCGCGCCTCAGAAAAGCGATGAAATCCTCGAAGAATTACAATTGAAACACTAGAGATTGGTGCTATACAAGTGGGGTAGACACGCCGCCTTTTTTGAACAAAAATATATGTAGGTGGGACTGCTGCTCGCTACTATACTGAGAATCGGGGAATTCGTGAGCCAGGGGAGTGTAGCCAATCCAGGGGGTGGGGGGTTCGACATGCGTGAAAAGCGGGCGTGCCCACCCCACTTGTCTAGAGATTCAAAATTTATGCGACAATTCCAACAAAATTTCAAGAGCACCCACAATTTTCGGAGGTTCCGGCACCAGATCAATGGTGTGATATCAGAGGCTTCAACAGACGGGCTAACAAAGGGTTCATGCAGGGTTGTAGAAGAATCAAGTTCACAACTAGTTTGGAACTTCTCTGTTACCGCTGCACCTAACAGCTACGCTTTAGGCTCGTGTCAGAATCCGCGATCCGTCGCAGGTTTCGCTGATTTTCGCGATTTGCGCGATTCACGCGATTTTCGCGACTTGCGCGAAATCGCAAAAATTGCAAGTGCCCCATTTGAACACTGAATATGAAACAAGTGGAATCATGAGCAGTCGTCATTCAGCCATCACTATCAAGCAGAAGTGGCGGCAGGATTGGAGAACACCTTGCAGTATTGATCGGGCACTTGTGATTTCCGTGACCCGTCGCGTGAATCGCGAATCGCGCAAATCGCGTGAATCGCGCAAATCGCGAAAATCAGCGAAACCTGCGACGGATCGCGGACTCTGACCCAGCCTTATAGAGGAAGGATGAAATCTTCTTTGCACAGAGTCCGCTGGCTCGAGCGAAACAGCTAAAGGTACTTTTTTGAAGAAAAAGACGAGGCCAGGTCGCATCAAAGAAAGAAGTAGTGATCATTTGCTAAACGCTCTGAAGCCGCCACCAAGAGAAACTAGCTAACGTTAAAAACTGCGGTTCCAGTGAGGCAGATTAAAGGACCTAGTTCAAGAAGAGCGTCGACCATAGCTGGGAAGCGATTTCGCAACCGATACTACCTGAGCTGCACCATTCTCCTGGATGATCGTGGCTGAGGGTCGGGTCAGTTGTAGCTTGGTTCGCAATCCGAATTAGGAGTAGATACTTATCGACCACGGGAACGCACGATCGACACGAATCTACCTTACTCACGAACTGCAAGGTGAGACCCGACCTGAGTTCTTCTGTTTCGCCCTCCAACCTTACGGTCAAGGGTACGCTCCGAGACTAGGCACGCTCACCTGTTCCATTCCTGAGCCTGGTAGACAGGGAACAAGTGTTGATGTCGCGCCTCTTTTGCGACTGAAAACAGCGACAAAGGCGCTAGAAGCAGGGTCAACCGTTACGTTGGACCGACATTGGACCGACGTTGACCGCTCTCCGCGCCGGCATTCACACTCGCCTTGCGCGAGCCGTCTGTGTCTCCGTGCGTACGTTCACTCTCGGCATTACTCTCACACGCTAGAGAGCCATGCGTTGGACTTTGTCCAACGGACGGTTGACCCTGGCTAGAAGCTCGTCGACCCGCAATCCAGCCTTCGTCCGCAAGCCCCGCCTTCCGCCAAAGGTTGCCACGTGACGCTGCGAGAAGAGCGCGCCGCAGTTGCTTCAACTTTAGCATTGCGTCTCAATGCCAGTGACATTGGAGAACTGGAGCTAGTCGTTCATGATCCTCGTCGGATACGTGTAATGCGGCCGAAAGAAAGGGGCTTCGTTCCGGGGCGTAAGCGGGGGTTTCTTTTGCTTTCCTACTTTTCCAGAAGACTTCCCACCTCCAGCTTCATTATTTAGCGCTCTTGCACATTTGATTTACCCCGAGTTAGCCTTTGAAGCAAATATAGCGAATGGGGAAGAGGTAGCGATTTCGGAACTACCTATACACGTGAGCACCACCACACTACCACTTCAACTATGACGAGACCCACCTGCTAAGCAAAGAGTAGAACGTAGGAAATACCTCCCACCAAAAGACGGACAATAATGAGGAACCCTACCATCTCACTAAATACACTACTAAAGCTGATACGTGTGAAGCAAAGTGGTTAGAAGAAAAAGAAATGAAAAAATACAACACAATGAACTTACTATTCCCTCCTGCGCCACAACGTGGTTCACGAGGTCTTCCTTTCTTGGATGTGCCAGTTGTTTTACGATTTTGCTCGGCTTCCATCTGTTTGAGCCTTTCACGTTCTTCCTTCTCCCGGCGTAATCTCTCCATTCGAGCCTTCTCCAAATTTCGACGTGACAAATATTCATCCCTGAAAACTCTCAATGGTCGCTAAAAAATTGCAAAGAAGAAACAGATTAGGCAAAACATTTGGAACATAGGCTTATAGTGGGAGTTTCATAAGAGATATAAATGTACTGAATATCGGAGTCGCCCTCGTCTTCCTCGTCATCGTAGCTACCCATCATGTCATCGTCACTCCATCTCTCAGAGCTCGAAAAGTCGTCCAAGCCAGAGCCGTCATCGTCGTCCCCTTCAAGTTGCTCCTCCTGCACCTCGAAAGCATCCGAATCTTCACTCTAAATCATTTCCGGCAAGATTTAAAATCTGGAAATTACACAGACGGTAGCCGAACGCCGCAACCGAGAAGAGTATGTATAAGACGATTTGTAACTGCTCAAGAAATAAAAGAAAGACGTAAAAGGATTGCGCTTTCTCGCATAGACAGGGGACTACTTTAATCTCACACAATCAAACTCGGCCACACTGTAATCGGCTCACCCACCCCAGAGTCCCTCATGCTCCAAAGCCTGGTCTCAGGGCTCTCACCTTCTCCCACGGAGAATGGAACCGAGCCAGACATCGGTCTCTAATCGTCTGTGATCTAGCCTTTCGCGGAAACCATGGAGGAGTTCAAGAAGTCGCCTAACCTTGGAGGGCACGTCCCCCGGTGCTACTCGCCCTCAGCTCAAGAGATAGAAAAACAAGGTTTAGCAGTGGCGTCCGCCACAACGGTTGTTCCCACTGTTGAAGGAATCGCGCTGCTTCGACTGTCGGGAAAAAGAAATGCGACCTAGGACAGGTTTCGGATCGCATGCCGTAGCACCGTCCGGGGACAAATCTCCCAAGGTAGAGAGAGGTTGGTCACCGACCGCATGGATCCAGGCCCGGCTGAATACTGTCGTATACGGCCCCTTGTAACGCACCCGTCTTCCTCACCACGTATCATGGGAGAGGGACACGTCACCTTGAGTGAAGGTTGACATGCGGCCCCTACGGAAAGAGATCGAGATCTTTCAATGTTATAATATTTATCTGATGAGCTCCAATCAGTGGAAATAAAATAAGCGAAAAAAAAACTAACTAGTCGCACAGTGTGCGAGAATTTATTATTTATGAGCCTACGTTATTATTTGACAAATTGCGGTTAATCATTTTCCTAAGAATTACACGTGGTATTGCTTTTCCCTCCTTCTACACCCTAATACCGTCAAAAAACAGGGGTGGTCAACTCAAAATCTCCTTCTCTAGGCCGAAGACCACTATAAGGCGGAATTTCTTTACAGTTAGAGCCGGTCTTGCATTTTTGCGGGCCAGCAAAGCTTCCTCCTTTGACGGCTCTTTTGCATCCTTCAAGCGCTCTATAGCAACCATTTTCTTCAAGCATAGTTGTCACTGTCATTCATTCTATTACTCAGTAATGTTCTCCTAGGTTTTGTATGTTGTTGTTTGTTAAATTTTTTGAACATTGTCTTATACAGCGTACTGAATAAGGATAAACCTACATTATCCTAATTAAGCCAGAGGTGCTGCGGCAAGTAATTTACAGATTGCTGTGAGCTCAATATTAGAATGTTTTATTTATTTAACAGTTTTGTCCTCTGGCAACCGCCGAACCTCCTTTGAGCTTTACGTCTTCCGCTGTGCTCCCTTCCACTTCTGAAGCCAACACGTAATAGAAAGGATGTGGGTGAAAAAAGTTTCTTATGTAGTGCACGGCACATTAGCACAATCATGACACTAATTCAGAATGACATCTCAACACTTGAGCTTAGATCTTTTGGCAGTCAAGTTTTCGGTTTTTCTCCTACCCCTTTCTATCCTCCTCCTCCCTACACCGGTCCTCTAACTGTCACTGCAGCATTACGCGGAATGACAAGAACTGTGCTCACTAGGCGTTTATATAGTTCTTGGGAGTGTCACTCATCATGCCACTACAAAACATTGGTATTTTGGGCCCCTCGACCACCCGTTATGTTAGCGGTTTGTTTACGCCACGAGTTTCCTTATCACTTCATTTTGCGGGCGGACAGACATGCGACATACACACAGCCAGTTTAGTGGTTTATAAGGTTGCTGGAGTATATGCCGTTCTTGGAGTCACATAAAATTTGTTGGAACGGTAACATCACGGCACCTCAAAACAAGAGATGGATACTAGCTTATTGCGTCAGGCTCCGCCATTCTTTACGCAAAGGCTCGTCGCTTTCCAGAAAAATCTCAGCAAATGTGCGCAATCAAGCTTGAACTCCCAGGGTTGGAACTTTCCCACAAGAATCTTAGCAAATGTGCGCAATCAAGCTTGAACTCCCAGGGTTGGAACTTTTCCAGAAAAATCTTAGCAAATGTGCGCAATCAAGCTTGAACTCCCCAGGTTGGAACTTTTTGCTCAGGATTCTTTTTCCTCACAACATGCTGTGGTGATTCGGATAAGCAACACTTTGATGGAGTGTGGCAGGAGCTGATTAGCGGAAAAGTCAAAAGTTTCAGTGCGGTCTTGCACATTTTTGCTGGCGATTTTTTTCGTGAATTGCAGCATGGACGTCGTGAAGTGAGTTATGAATCATTGTTTTTATTTCTCGCCAAGCCAATGCACGGTTTGATGTAGGTCGCTTTTGTTTGCGAAAGCCTGCCCTGACCGTGTGAGCTGGATTCAGCTCTCAAGATGTCGTTGAACATTCACGTGCACACTCTCCAATTATTGGTTAGTCATCTTTTGAAGGGAAAATTCAAGTAAAAAATGATATGCGCAACAGTCACCACTTCTACACTCTGAGATTTCCTGCCTCGATAAATACAGAAAGCACTCTGGAGATTCAGAAGCCGCCCAGCTGGGTGAAAGTACATCGAAGCGACATTTATATTGCAACAGCCCAATGTAATGGAAGGGCAATAGAAGAATGGAAGGACGTAGCATCAGATGCTGTTATCATATGGATAAAATCATGGTAGACCGACAAAGCAACATCATATGAAGTCGTAATTTTGTAACAGGCGGGCACATGTGACATTTCACTTATCGCACCCACTAATTAAGGAGAATTTCGCGGATATCACACAGAGCTACTGCCTGACTTATCAAATGTTTCACATAAAAAAATCACTGCACATGCGTTTTGTTATACCAGATTGGTCCCCCGGCAACCACCGGGACCTCCTTACCTGCGTAAGCTTTACTCCTTCCAATGTGCTCCCATCCACTGGTGACATGGACACCTCGTGGAGGTGGCACGCATGCACAAAAAAGTGTCTTATATAGTAGAAGGCATTACCGTAATCGTGACATGACCTTAGAATGATATTAATTGGACCTCAGGTCTTTTGGCGGTTAGCTCCCCTCGCCCTTCTCCATCTTATCCTATTCCCTCTACTGCTCTCCAGCTGCTATTGCAGCATCATGTGGAATGAATGAGACCATGCTCAGTAGGTGTTTATATAGCCGTTGGGGTGTTATCACATTGATAGCACTGCAAAACATTGATTGCTAAAGTCATAGTTACTCGATTTTGTTAACGGTCTGTTTACTTCACGAGTTTCCCTACCACTTCATTTTGCGGACGGACACACATACATACATACATACATACATACATACATACATACATACATACATACATACATACATACATACATACATACATACACACACATACAGACATACAAACCGACACACAAAGTTAGCGCTTTATAAAATAGAAGGATAGAAGGAACCTTTCATATAAAGTACACCCGGGCGAAACGAATAATTTTGATGGTGCGACGAAAATTTTCAAATTTGGCTTGATACACCACGAATATCTGAACTTCTCAGCTAAATTCTATCCGCTCCATCATCGACGGCTTTCAACCTCTTTTTCTTCGTCAACCATATCCTCTTTCCCCCTTCCCTCGCCAACCTCTACCCCTTTTTCCCCGGTCTCTGGGACCTCTTGGAACCAAATTACGACACTTTTGGCAAACTCCGCCCACTTAGTGCGTGCTCCGCCCACTAATAGCAGTTGACCTCCTTTCCTTCGCCGACCTCTACTCCCTTTTTCCCAGCCTCCTGGACTTCTTGGAGCCGAGTTATGAATTTTCGTCGCAAACTCCGCCCACTGGACATGTCCCGCCCCTATAACGGCTCAAGCCCCCTCCTCACCCACACCTATAGTCCACCATTTTCCGGTCTCCAGGACTTCTTGGAACCGAGTTATGAATTTCCGTCGCAAACTCCGCCCACTTTGGTCATGCCCCGCCCACCAATGGCCGTTGACCTCCACTCCTCCACCCCTCTATCCACCTTTTTCCGGCTCACTAAGACTTCTCCGGCCCGAATTATGAGGACTTGTAGAAAACGCTGTACACTTCAGAGCGCGCCCCGCCCATTGTGGGCGGCCTCCGCCTCACATCATGTATGCTGGAAACACCTTAGACATTGCTCCCTTACACCAAATTGTTTTCTGCTCTGTAGGCTTTCTCCCAACCGAGTTATGAAATTTTTCATAAAGCACTGCTTTTTTGGAGAACGCCCCGCCCACCGGGGGTGGGTCTCCCTAATTCGATGTGACTTACCAATGCACACCTTTACCCACTTTTTGGCCCAGTTTCGAGGTCGTTTTCTAAGAAATTGAAAATCTCGGTCGTCAGTACACTTCATGTCGACGCACGCCACGCCCACTGTGGGCGGGGCTCCGCTTAGCTGATGTGTGTTTTGTACTTCGTGAGACCTTGCCCACCCGTCCCACACTTGACCCGGTCCCTCCAGGCGGATCCCGAGGAGCTAGGGAATTTCGTGACAGACATACAGAACGACAGACGACAGACGAAGCGCTTTATAGTAAGTAGTACAAAGTGATTACGCAACATGTCGGTGCGTATTTGTGTCTATCAAAAAATTTTATTTAAACTAATCGGAAATTACTTTTGGTGGGAAAGAACTGTCTACTATATAATTCGCTAAGTATACGATCTGTGCGTGTGTGTAGGTCTGTGTGTGTGTTTGTCACGAAATTCATAACGCGCGTACCACCAGTCACCTGAAGTTGATTTCAGGATATGATACAGGGGTGAGAGGGTCACCCCTTCGTTGTTAGCTCCTATCGGACAACTTTTTAGCGACCGCCCTCCCCCTTCCATGGGTGATCTGATACGACCCCCCCTTTGAAATAAAAAAAAGAAAAAAAAAAAAAAAAAAAAAAAAAAAAAAAAAAAAAAAAAAAAAAAGAAAAAAAAAAAAAAAAAAAAAAAAAAAAAAAAAAAAAAAAAAAAAAAAAAAAGAAAAAAAAAAAAAAAAAAAAAAAAAAAAAAGAAAAAAAAAAAAAAAAAAAAAAAAAAAATTAGCGTCAATATTTATTGCTACTTGAGTTCAGAGATTAAACTAGCAAAATCCGCGACATAAATCCGATACGCGATTTGTACAGATTTGCAAGAGAATTTTTACACTCCTCTTTCTAGGGCTATAACTTCCTTCATATTCGAGCTTCAGCGCCGAAGTGATTTGATTTGGAAAATTCAAATTATTTTCTATCCAACCATGGGTAAAAATTCTTCGGAAAGTTAATTTAAGTAAAAATTTAGTACGTTGTTACTTTTTTCTGTGCAAAGGCGACTTTTTGACCTTCAAACGATCATAACTTCCTTCAAAATCATTCATTTGGGAAGCTGAACACGTGTATAATAAACTACACAGATTCAAGCTTCTA